TTACAGCATTTGTGGCTATTAGGAAAAAATCTTTTTTTTTTTTTTTTAGGAGAAAACGTTTTGAACCTCTATAGATTTGCAATTTATTTTGTCCTAGCTCCACACCCCTACATCGTGAAAAATTTCGGCAACTGTTTTGTGTAGAATATTTTTTTTTAAGTAGGCTCCATGCCCAGCGTGGAGCCCAACATGGGGCTCCCAACTCGTGAGATCAAGACCTGAGCTGAGGTCAAGAGTCAGACGCTTGGGGGTGCGCCTGGGTGGCTCAGTTGTTAAGCATCTGCTTTCGGCTCAGGTGATGATCTCAGGGTCCTGGGATCGAGCCCCGCGTTGGGCTCCCTGCTCAGAGGGAAGCCTGCTTCTCCTTCTCCCACTCCCCCTGCTTGTGTTCCCTCTCTCGCTGTGTCTCTCTCTGTCAAATAAATAAATAAAATCTTTAAAAAAAAAAAAAAGAAAATGAGGGCCAAAATCAAAGAAGGAAGAGAGAGAGGAATTGATATTTCTTGGGCTTTACCTATGTTTTCTCCTCATTTACTCCTTATAACAAGTGTACACATCAGTGCCACATATTATAAACGTAATACCTAAGGACTAGAAAGGTTAAGTGACTTGCTAAATTTATACTATTAGTAAGTAGTGGAGACAGCCATTCTGACTCTAATATCCCCAGAGTCCTCTCAATCATAGTGCGGTGATTAAATTGATCTGCATTGTTTTGTACATTTATTTCATTTATTTGTTGTTTTTATTTCATTTTATTTTTTAAAATATTTTATTTATTCACTTGACAGGGAGAGAGACAGCGAGACAGGGAACACAAGCAGGGGGAGAAGCAGGCCTCCCGCTGGGCAGGGAACCCAACACGGGGCTTGATCCCAGGACCCCAGGATCATGACCAGAGCCGAAGGCAGACGCTTAACTGACTGAGCCACCCAGGCGCCCCTGTACATTTATTTTAAAAAACACAGAACAGTCAAACACAAGACAGTTATCTGTTGCTGAATGGTATTTTATTAGCTTAATAATTTGGGCCTGCCCTTAGCATTAATAAGCTTCAGCACTAATCACAAGATTTTCATTCACTGGTGGGGAAATTTTCTTGTTTTAAAAAATGCAGTTAGAGAAAGGGCGTCTACTTCTTGGGGGCTGCCGTGACGGCAGGTTTCTCTTCGCGGGTGATGGGAATGGTGCGCTCAGGGCCAGAGGCCTGCTTCCTTGGTCCATTCACAGTGAGGACCCCATCGGATGACAGGGACGAAGTAATGGCAAGAGGGTCCACATCGGCTGGGATCCGGTATTTCCTGTGGAACTCCCGGGAGATAAAACCATGTTCATCCTAATCCAAGAGAATGAGGAAAGACAGAGATAAGAACAGGACATTGCACCACTTGCTGAGAACTCAGACATCCTCCTTCCCCTTAAGTGTGACCATATGCCATTGCAACAAGAGAGAAAACCAAACAGCTGTTCTGTTTGGGGCTAAGATCAAGTTGCCTGGGTGCTCACTCTGACCAATGAGAGTCTGAGAAATTTGAAACAGTGAAAACTGCAAAGCTCTCCAAACTGAGGCATGGCTATTTTTAGGGATATTTCCCAAAGGTTTAGATCAGTGTTGGGGCTCCAGGATCTGGAATATTATTCAGCATTGAAGATCTGGGAAGCCCAGAAATTGTCCTGACTCTTCAGGAATGTCCCAGAATGTCCCAGACCAACAGGACTGCTGCTAACAACAACAACACCCCTTCATCCAGGGAGACCATGATCCAAACTTAAATCACATAAGCAAAACTGAAACAGCCCGAGGACCTCAAATTATGCTGTTTGATGCACAAGTATCTGAATTATCAATAATCAGTAAGAAGCAGACTCATTTAAAAACCCTCCCAGAAGTTAATGAGAAGCCGTTCCTCATTCTCTAGAATTCTGCTAAAAACTACCTGCCCCAACCTTTACACCAGCTGAGTCTCAAGCATTTATGCAGACAGGCTCTCAGTTAACTGATTTCCACATGGGCTCCAGGATTTTAGCTGCTGAGTGCAGCTCTGAAACTTAAGCAAACCAAATAGTTCACCCTTTTAGACGAACTAAAGATGAGAGGATTCTGGAACATCTAAAAGCAAAGTTGCAAAATCCCAAAGTCAAGAGCCTTCGGGGTATACACAACTCATTTAATTACCAGGTGTCCAACAAGCACGATTCCTCAATCAGTGGTCCTCCACTTTGAATGGACATTAGAATTACCTAGGGAGCTTTTAGAAATGCTGATGCCTGGGGCCCGCTCCTAAAAAAATTCTGATTTACTTGGTCTGGGATATGTCTAAGCACTGGGATTTTTTTTTTTTTTTTCTTCATTCCCCTAGTGATTCTGGCCAAAAGTCACAGGCTTAAATGGGAAATAAACATCCCATGTATCCCATCTAAGACAATCAAATCAAAACAAACAACAAAACTCACTTCTCTGGCCCAAACAACAACAACAACAGGTCTATCCCTGTCCCAGACCCTTATGGCTTAAGACTGGAAGGTCGCCAGGCTCAGGGGCTGATGGTAGTGTCTGGCGTATCATATGCACTGGATGAATGAGCAGAACAGAAGAGAAAACAAGCTACACACCTGGCGCTCTTCATGTTTGCCGTGCACCTCAATCACATCTCCCAAAACCTTGACCTTGAGTTCCTCTGGGGAAAAGTGCTTCACATCCAGGTTGACAGAGAATCTGTCCTTCTCCAGACGCATCTAGAAATAGCAAGGTGGACAGGGCGGTGTAGGAGAAAAGATGGTAGGAACGTGGATGACATTAGTGCAGTCTCTTCATTCTGCAGACTTGCTTGCTGCCCAGGTAGTTTTTCCTCCTGTTTTTGGCTGAAAGTCCCTTTTTGAATAAACATGGCTCTGGTTCAGGGGAGCCACACAGTGGTACCCAAAGCATACCGTGTGGTCATCAGACCCAAACTTTATTTACAGGGACAGGAGAGAAGACAGGCCACCCAGGGGAGCAATCACGAGGATGGGTCTGGGCATGGCTTCTACTGCCTCTCTGACCCCCATGCCTGGCCTTGCCATTTGTCTGTAAGACAAAGGCCCCTTCTTCTTACTCAGACCTCTGCCAAGGTCCCCACCCACTCAATCTGGAATGTTCTGCTGGCCCTGATTGTCCTTCCAAAGCCCTTGCTCACTCAGCTCCTGTTTACTCACACTTGAATATTTTTAAACCAGAGTGTTCTTTGTGACAGCTCTGTCAACCTTATCTGTTCACCCCATTCTCCCACCCTCTTAGGACAACTGGGGGTCCCAAGACTGGACCTACATTCTTTACTCGTTAGGTTTGAACCCAGGTCGGTGCCCTGTCACAGTCCTGAGAAACCTGGAAAATCACAGATGAAGGAATAGAAAGAAAGTAAGTAGTGTTTGCTGTCTCCAGTTCCATGCAGTGGAGATGAAAACTCAGAATGAGGCAGCACTGCTTCCTGACCCTGAAACTTGAGATGCTAACATTTGTCAGGAGTATGAGATGTTAGAAGAGGTGAGCAAAGGGGTCTGAAGGCAGCTCTTTCCCTATAGATCTCTATGAACCAAACCAGAAAGCGGCATTCTACTTAGAAGTTAGGGGATGGAGGGCAATCTTTGCAGCACATGGAAAAAAATGCAGTAAGTAGGATACAGCGGAGCATCAAATACCAACAGGTAACTGGGGGAAAGAAACAGTAGCCTAGTCTGTCTTCACTGGTGGACATGCAAGTGCCGAAGACACTTAGACATAGCCAGATTTAGGCAGGGAGAAAAAGGAGAGCAGGTGGACATGTTTCCAAGAGGTTCCAGGAAGAGCTCTCCTATCTTGGCAGAGACTTACCTCTGAGAGCCCGGTGTCAATCCAGCTGGGTGCCCGCAGGAATGAGGGTGGCCGAAGGTAGAAGGGGCTCAGGGAAGTAGAAGTTGGGAAGAGATCAGACTCTAACAGGTGCTCTCCGAAGAACTGGTCAAAGAGGCGGCTGGGGGAGTGGAAGGGAAAGAAGGGGCGGCGGATCCAGGGGTGGTGGATGGCGATGTCCATGGTGGCTAGGTGAGTGGAGGGGGTCAGCTGGCTGGTCAGCTCCTTCAGCTGCAGCTACAGCCAGCCCCTTATATACGCAGTCTTGTGAAGCTTCTGGAATGGTGATGTCAGGAGTTTTATTATCCCAGCTCACCGCCCGTTCATGGAGACTTGTGATCGGGGATTTGGCAGTGTGACACATACCCAGTACTCACTGAGCTAAGAAAAGAGAAATACAAACACGTCTGAGCTGGCCAGTGACTTGTCCTGGTCTTGTTTCACTAGCTTTCCATCCACACCCAGTGGCACCCCCCCCCCTTCCTCTGGAGTTGGAACGGAGTCAGGAATCCCAAGCAGGCGGGTGGCGTGCCCCTCCTCCTCCTCTCCAGCCTACTGTGCCAGGGGAATTGGGCCAGCAACTATCTTGGGCCTGGGCAGGAACTGGAATCTTCCTAGGCTGGGCCCCAGGGACATTAACTCTTTGTGGGTCCCTGGAGGAGAGAGCAGTGATCACCAACAAGTCAGTGCCAGGCATCTCTGTGGTGCCCGGGCTTGATCTGGGTTCAGGAGAGGACCCTGACATTAATCTGGGCAGAAGACCCTTCACCCCACCCCAAAGAAAGGGTGGGAAAGTTTCTTGCATCTTTCACCTTACACAGCGCGCAGAACGTTAAAACCAGGAGAGCTTTATGAAGTAGGGTACAGGGTGCATGGAACTTAGAAGGAGAGGAGGAGGTGTGGAAAATGTGCAAACTGTAAGGGTTTCGGCTAAGCCTCTCCAGGGCGTCCGGCGCCAGCCTCCCCTCCCCAGCTTGCTGCCCAGCCAGGACCCGCAGCTGTCCCCTCAGGCCGCCTGCGACAGCTGAAGGGTGTGCGGGGGAGGGCACGGGGGTCCAGGCGGCGCTGGTCACACACTTGTCGCTGGCGCTCAGGGGCCCGGCTCCTCGCCCCTCCCCCCCCCAGGCTCCGCACTATTTTGGGTGGTGTAGACCCCGCCCCCACCTCCGACCGAGCCCTGGCTCTCCAGGCAGCTGGAGGGGTCGCTGCTCTGTTGGGGCTGCACCTCGGACCAGCGCCGCCGACGCCTCTGCAGCCATGTCGGGCCGCTCGGTGCCACATGCCCACCCAGCCACCACCGAGTACGAATTTGCCAACCCCAGCCGCCTGGGTGAGCAGCGCTTCGGAGAAGGTATGGCACAGACGCCACCCCCTTGCCTCCCACCCCCACCTCCTGAAATTCTGGGCTGACCTCCCAACGGTACTGGCCTCCACCCCACTCCGGGCTTAACTGAACTCCTGGGGCGAGCCATCTCCCACCCCAGATTCCCCCTCCACCCCCGCCAAGCAGGGCTCTTGTCCCCTTGCTACTGACCTCGGTGCAGATGCCTTGCCTGAGATGCCGGGATACCTGCCCCTGTCCCCCTTGGTGTGCCTTCTTATTCCCCTTCTGTGCACCGGTCCCCGTGTGGGTTGCCCTCCTTCACCCCCATCTCATTCCCTATCTCAGTCCCCTCTTTCCCGCTGCCACCCTGCAGCCCCTGCGTCCCCCTGCTTCCTTTTCCTACTTCTCCTGACTCCCCGGCTGCTCTCCCGGGTCCTCGTCTCCTGAGCTCCCCATTTCACCCTGTTCCCACCTCATTCTCCCTCATCCTGCCTCTTGCCTTCTCTCTCTGCCCCTCAGGCCTCTTGCCAGAAGAGATCCTGACCCCCACCCTCTACCATGGCTACTATGTCCGGCCCCGGGCCACCGGAGCTGGGGAGGGCAGCAGGGCAGGGGCCTCTGAGCTCAGGCTCAGTGAGGGCAAGTTTCAGGCGTTTCTGGATGTGAGCCACTTTACCCCAGATGAGGTGACCGTGAGGACTGTGGACAACCTGCTGGAGGTGTCTGCCCGGCACCCCCAGCGCCTGGACCGCCACGGCTTCGTGTCTCGAGAGTTCTGCCGCACCTATGTCTTGCCTGCCGATGTGGACCCCTGGCGGGTCCGCGCTGCTCTCTCCCATGATGGCATCCTTAACCTGGAGGCCCCTCGGGGTGGCCGACACTTGGACACAGAGGTCAATGAGGTCTACATCTCCCTGCTCCCTGCACCTCCTGATCCCGAGGAAGAGGAGGAGGCAACCAGAGTTGAGGCCTGAGTGCCGTGGAGCCAGCAAGCCGCGAACCCCTTTCTACCTCCCACGGTGATATGAGCAGCTGCCCACCACCCCAGAGGTAGCAGCATCCTTGGGGGAAGGGAAAAGTGCATGGCCCACAATGTATGGTTTGGTCCCTTGAGACGTGTCGTAGCCTTTGGTTTAGTTCTGGGTGGAGCTGAATAAACCCAAATCTCAGGGCCTTGTTTGTGCTGCTCCCTATTCTGTGGCCTGGACAATGGGATGGGCAGGGAGGGAGGGGGGGGTCATAGCCAGCTAGACAAAAAGCTCCTCAGTTAGATGTGCCCAACGTCACAGCACCCTGAGCTCACACTTGGATGCTGAGATCATACCCGGAAGCTGACCTGACTCCAGATCAAATTCCTAGCCATAATTTTCTCACAATGCAACAAAAGAGAGAGTGATCCTGGGAGGGAAAAGGGATATGCCGTCCAAACAGCCCAGAGGGCACTGTCTGAGCTGGTGATTAGAGACACAAAAACAAGGGTCTCCAGCCTGTCTGGCCTGTTTTGGGTAGGGGTTGGGAAAACAGTTTTAGGCTGGAGGGAGTTGCCTAAAGCCCTGTTTTCCCAGAGTAAGGTCTGTCCACTGAAAATGGTTTCTAATTCCGAGCGATGGAGTATGCATACACAGGGCACAGGCACGGAAGCCTCTGCCATTGTCACCAAACCACAGAGTCTCTCCAACTTGTGCAATAGGGGAGGCTTATGAGAGAAAACATTTGTTTCTAATCTTGGTACATCCCAAAGAGAGGAATCACTGAATCACCCACCCAATCCAAGACTAAATGCAGGGATCTAGGGCTAGGCCAGGGAACCCTCATTTGAAAGCAGAGGGTTTGTTTTCTTTCTTTCTTTCTTTCTTTCTTTCTTTCTTTCTTTTTCTTTCTTTCTTTCTTTCTTAGTCAGAGAGAGAGAGAGAGAGAGCACAAGCAGGGGGAGTGACAGGCAGAGGAGGCAGAGGGAGAAGCAGGATCCCCGCCAAGCAAGGAGGCCCTTGCGGGACTCGATCCCAGGACCCTGAGATCATGACCTGAGCCAAAGGCAGACGCTTAACCAACTGAGCCACCCAGGTGTCCCAATTGGAAGCAGAGTCTTAATACTAGGGACATGGTGTGTTCAGGAAAGTGTGGGTGTCTGGCTCTTCAATTACTCTCTGTTGTTCATACACGTTTGATTTGAGGAGTGTCCAGAAGACCTCCTTGCCCCCAAAAATATGTTTTACCAGGTTGTGGTGGACACCTGAAATTCTTCCATTAAAGTGGTTGATTCTGAACTTTTTTAGGTTACAGACCCATTTGAAAAACCTAGCAAAAGCAATAGATCCTCTTACCAGAAAAAATACACATGCTACCAAAATTTGCCTTACACTTTGAATAGGTTCACACGGCTCTTGAGATCCATTCATATGCCCCTCCCTAGGGATCTGTGGATGCCCAAGATAAGAGCCCTCACTCAAAGAATTCAATTCTTGGTTAAAGCATTACCCCTTATCAAAAATGAAAGCACGCCTCAGAGAAATAACTATTGATATATTTGTTTGTTCATCCATTCATTCAACAAATGTTTCTCAACCCCCAAGTAATACACTATGGTAGGTGTACATTATAAACATAGATTTAAAAAACATGCTCTTCTATTGTCTACTCTCAGGAACCTTAATCTAGTTGAGAAGAAAAAGAAACTAGAAAGGATCCTATTCAGACTTCAACCAGAACAACTTCCATTGATCTATTTTGGAATTGTTATTTTTATGTGAGTTTTATTTCAAAGAGAGGGTTCCTTGGCCAGAAAAAAATGGAAACCTCTCATTTAGTCCAAATCCCCATACCACTCAAATTCTTTTACAACTCTTAGTCAACTTCCTTTTGGGACATTTTAAGTGACAGAGAACTTAGAACTTCATAAGTTCTTATTGGCAGTTCTTCATCAGAACTTTCTGGATGTATTTCCTATTAATTCTTCCTTCTATTGATCCCAAATATTCATTTCAGTAACTTCTGCTCATTTGTCTGGTTATGTCCAGAAAATAAATGCAATCCTTCTTTCACTTGGGAGTCCCTTTCAGATATTTTAAAATAACCATCCCATCCTCTTAAGGCTTCTCTTTCCCAAGAAAACATACCTAATTCTTTTAACCATATCTTATAGAACTTTTTTTAAGTTTATTTATTTATTTATTTACATAATCTCTACACTGAATGTGGGGCTCAAACTCATGACCCCGAGATCAAGAGTTGCACACTCTACTGACTGAGGCAGCCACTAGGACTTTCCAAACCACTTAGCACCTAGACAACTTTCTCTTGAACACACTGCCTTTTGACAATGTAACTCGAAATTCAGCATGTAGACCTAAAATTATTATTCCAATCACGGGCTGACTGGTACAGACTTCAGTGGAATCATCAACACCCTTGTTTATCACTCTAGAATTCCATTAATGCTGCTTAAGTTATATTAGGCTTTCTGGGTACCACAATACACTGTTGATTCCTTTGGAGTTTCTGGTCATAAAATCTCTTTGGTGTTCTCCTTTATGCATTACCTCTTTAAATTAGAGAAAGTGACTGGAAAGGGACCAGACTGTGGAGGGCTTTGAGTGCCAGGCTAAGAGGTTTGGGTAGCAGGATGAAAAGAATACAGTTAATGATAGAATACAGAAGGAATTGCTAGGGGAGAAGCATAGCGGTGAAGTTAAGAGGCTAGTGCAATGATCCAGCACAAGATAATAAAGTAGGGTGCTGTGCCATCCGACAAGGAGCTGAGAACAAGAAGTAATAACAATAGTGGCGCCTGGGTGGCTCAGTCGTTAAGCGTCTGCTTTTGGCTCAGGTCATGATCCCAGGGTCCTGGAATCGAGCCCCGCATTGGGCTCCCTGCTCTTTGGGAAGCCTGCTTCTCCCTCTCCCACTCCCCCTCCTTGTGTTCCCTCTCTCACTGTGTCTCTCTCTGTCAAATAAATAAATAAAATCTTAAAAAAAAAAAAAAGAAGTAATAACAATAACTAGGACTTAGTGAAAGCTTCCCGCGTGAGCCCTGAAGACAAGCCTTGCGGGTTTCACAAATTCTCCCAGGGCCCGTAGTTTCTACAGAGGAGTTTGCTCAACAGCAGCCTGCTCTCTGGAGAGAGTGAAATGAGTCTGACGTTGGGTCATTGGAAGGAGAAGCTGAGTTGAAGTGGGAGTGGAGCTTCTGTAGTTCTGTGCCGGGCACGAGGAAGTAAGTGGTCAGGAAGTGCTGAGGCCATTCCAATCATAGGACCATGTGATTTTTGACCAGAAAGGGGGTTAGACAATGAGTTGAGTCCTCTCACCCTCATAGAAAAAAGCAATTTGCCCACATTAATCCCAAAAGCAACGGAGACTTAAAAGGAATCCATTTCCCTAAATTTAAGTTTCCAAGAGACTCCCATACTCAAACCCAGGTTCTGGACAGGGATAATAAGAAACTGATACAGGATACCTTGAAAGTGAAACTCCATTAAAACTGAGCAGTGCTAGGGAAACATAAGTTAAGACTCTTCACTCCATTATAGAGGATATATTTCAATGACAGTGTGGGGTAGTAGAGAAACACTTCTTAAGGAAACCCAGAGCCCTTTTCTATCTCACGTTTCTTTTCACTGAAGCTTGAAGCTCAAAGGTCATGGCTTCATCAAAGTAGCTCCAAATCCTGAAGGTGAGATAGCTCTCACCTGGAGCCCATGTGTGCTCCTCTACCCCTTGGCTGGGAACAGTCACCTGGGAATCACTCCAGCAGGTGGCTTCCAAAGTCCAACCTGCTCGGTTGAAATCTGACACTGACAGAGACTCCCTTGGAGCCGCTATTGAAAGCTAAACCAGGAACCAGGAAATGCACCAGCCTCTTTCTGTAGAAAAACAGCTGCGCTCCTCTGACACAGAACACCATGGGAAACCAGCTCTGCTGTGGGGGAAGCTGGTGAGTAGGGGCAGAGGGTGGAGGGTAACGTCTCTGTTGGTGGACATGGGGGCCCAGAGAAAAAGGGAAAGCCTGCAGATAGTTCTCTACCAGCCTCCCACTGCCACCTCCCTCTGCCTGGCACATCTTCGGGTGCCAACACCAGAGCATTACCTCTTTCTGTGTTCACTCCTTTCAGAAAGCCTCAGAAAACACAGCCAAGCCTGCTGACTGTTGAGGGGCCAAAGCCAGACTGGAATGGTGAATTGGCATGGTTTCTCTCTGTCTTCCTCTCCTTTCGCTCCCTTCCCTTCTTCCCCAGATGATAATCATAGTTCTAGTGTTTGAGAGCTTACTATGCTCCAGGCACTTTTCAAACAATCTCTTCCCAACAATGCTGAGGGAGGTGGCCTTACTCCTGTTTTTACAGCTGAGAAGCTGAAGCTCAGAGAAGTTAACTTGTCCCAGGTCACGTGGCTAAGTGAGGAAATAAACCAATATTCCAGCCCCGACCCAAGTAAGTCAGTCTGACTGTAGAGCCTGGCTAGAAACACTACCCCTGATATTCCAACCAAAACATATTTTTTCCTCTTAAAATATTAGTAGGACCAGGGGTGCCTGGGTGGCTCAGTCAGATAAGTGTCTGACTCTTGGTTTCGGCTCAGGTCATGATCTCAGGGTCATGGGATTGCACCCTGCATAGGGCTTGTCATGCTCAGCACGGAATCTGCTTCAGATTCTCTCTCCCTCTGCCCCTCCCGCTCACTCTCTCTCTCTCACAAATAAATGAAACCTTAAAAAATTTATTTTTATTTTTAAAGATTTTATTTATTTATTTGACAGAGACAGAGATAGCAAGAGCAGGAACACAAGCAGCGGGAGTGGGAGAGGGAGAAGCAGGCTTCCCGCCGAGCAGGGAGCCCGATGCGGGACTCGATCCCTGGACTCGATCCCAGGATCATGACCTGAGCCGAAGGCAGATGCTTAACGACGGAGCCACCCAGGTGCCCCTTAAAAAAATTTAAAGTACTAGAAGGACTGGATATTATTCTCCTCTGTTTCTCATTATCTCAATAAACTTACAGAGACTTCAAGACAGTATGTCGATTAAAAAGCTTTTTATTTTAAAATATCATTATTATTATTTATTATTATTTTCTGATTACAAAAGTGACACACATTCACTGTAGAAAATTTGGAAAATCCCAAAGAGCAGAAAATAAGAAGCGACCATAAATATTCTAAATATATTTATAGCAAC